TAGCTGTTTCTTCAATAGGATGGCATGGGATGGACCGATTTTTTTCATTCCATGTTATCCTAGACGGAGCCCTGTTAAGCATTTGTGTCATTGCATCCTCCTGTTATCTCTTGACAAACAACATTGTTATTTAACTGAAGATGATGGTTGTGGATTGACAATTTTGGTTAATAAGAAAAGAAATTGAGAAAAAAAGCAATTCTATTTATTGTGAATATAATCAGATATGTTTTTTAGCAATACTTTTTTTTTCTTATGCTTTGTTGAGTATATGATTAATGCTCGTAGGTCTTTTAAGACATCATTCATGAAATTAGCAAGAGATGCTAAAAGAAAATATGGAAGGACCAACAAAGACGGAGAGAAAGAAATAGAATAAGAAAACAAAGAAAAAGACCAGAAAGAAAAGAAAAACAAAACCAAAAGAGAAAAGCTCTCAGATGTAATTTTTGTTTTATAAGAACGTCTATGGAAATGAAGAAAATATATCGAGTTCATCTTTGGCTATAAGAAGAATGGAGTCTATAACGGTGTTTTCTAACCATCTAAGACATTGCTCGATACTCGGGACGAATGGTACTGTTTTTTAACAATACTATCGATTACTTATCTTATTCAATTTTATTTTTCAGTTAATATAAAAATAAACTGTTTCATGTTCGATCCATGTGATGAAATAGAAAAATTTTCAAACAATACCAATTGAACTATTTCATGAGTATGGTCTATACTCTATAAATAAAAAAAGCATCATAATCATATGTGTGTGATATTTCGATTCTATCAAACATACTCATAGTTGATCAAGTGGAACATCAGCTAAACGATTCCTCCCTTTGTTTTTCAATTTCTTTGCACTTTAATTTAAAATTAAGAATATTCTCAAAGAAACGTAAATTCTAAATGATTGTCTTTGTGAAGACTATCACATGTCATTTTCTTTTGGTATTATTTTACCCAAAGTATCTTGGACTTGATTGAAATTAATTAGAGAATCGTAGAAGTTTTTGTTTTTGTGTGAGTATTGTTAGATCAAGATCTAATACATGATGAGTTAATATAAGAAATTCGATCGAAAAAAATAAGCAAAGTCGATATTTCCTTTACAAACCTCAAGATAATTTTACCGAATCAAAAATAGAGTGAATATTACTGTCTGATTTTACGTCGTATGAATATCAGTAATTTCTAAATGATTCGTCTATGATGTTCACCATCAAATTTCTTTAGTCTCAGTCGTAGTAATTTATTTTTTCTATCGAAATCACAGTCTCAATTTCGGTTCTGACACATAGAAAACTACTTAAAAAAATGTGTTCGGACGAAATCTAAAAAATTTGTACGTTACTAATTCTTTGATTTATTGAGTCAACAAATGTCACAATATTTGGTTTTGTCCTTTTTGAATTATGTTATATTGTTCAAAGGTTAACTATCAATTTTAGTTTCACAAATCTCTAAATTTGACTAAATGAACCATGGTATCGGGTTCTCATGTAAGGTTAGTTAAGGGTACCCCCCCCCCTCATTTGTAACCAAAAACTCGATTTCGAGCTGAGCCTAAGATACGATAGCCTGAAGTGCCACATGCAACTAGAGACATTATTCGACTCTAAACATTTTACTTTTACGTAGTTATTAGATCAAGAAAATTTTTTTTTCATAGTAATCGTATGTAAATTTTTTTCTTTTATTTAGCATTTTGTAAAACAGTGATTTTCTACATCTTGACTGCTTACGACCCCCTTTTTAGTTTGTCCGATCGAGCTGAAAATTTTACCACTAACACTTTGAAGTATTCTCCAGAGGTAAAATCAAGCGTTTTCATTTTTGATTTTCCTACTCGGAGTTACAGGGTCGCGAAAGCCAAGATTCGAAGCACAAACTCGGATCTTGGAGTATTTCTCTTATAAAAAAAAAAGAAAGTGAGATTTTTAAAAATCCGTAAATTTACCTCTGAGGAATAGTGTCAGGCATCTATAAACAAAATTTCAGCCCAATCGGACAAACTTTAAGGGGGGTCGTAATGTGTCAGGATGCGGACCTCTGGAAAACCAGAGTTTTCTTGAAAACCCCACAAAAACTTATTTTAAATTTTTTTCCTCGAACACGTATCTCTTTATTTTTAGTGCTCTATCTGTGCTAAAAATTTCAGCTTGATCGGTTGTACCGTCTTCGAGAACCAGCAAGTGTCAAAAAAGAGGGGGGTACCCTTAAATTCTGAACTTGATATTATATATTATAAAGAGTATTCTACATGAGACACATAGTGAAAAAAAAAACAATGACTTAATGAAGAAGTCACTGATGAACAAAGAAAAATGTTAGGCAAAAAAGAACAATGCTATTAGCTATTCATCATAGTCTAACAAGGCGATCTTTATAATTATCCTTCATTGTTCGTCCGTACGTCAATGAAGACTTGAAGATATATATAAATAGAAATGAGTAGACATTATCAGTTAGACATGGAAGCTTCCACGAACAACTTTATCAATATACTTGATTTACCCAATGAAATCTTACTGACCATAATCAAGAAATTGAATATGGTTGATGTTCTCTATTCACTTGTGGATATCAATGAACGATTGAATCAATTAGTATTTGATCCTTTTTATATTCATAATCTTGATATGACGATGAAATCATCATCTGATGATACTTCTTCAATATCTGATCAAGTTCTTAATAGAATTTGTAAAAATATCTTACCTCGAATTCATCATCATGTTAATAAACTTACTGTTGAACCACATTCATTAAAACATATTCTTTTTAATGGCAATATTTATCCTCAACTTTTCTCGTTATCATTTATTAATTTTCAAGAAGAAATGCTTTATCAATATTTAACAGGTATACTATTTAAGTTCGTTCATTTTAATCAATAAAATAATAAAATTGTTAGACATGAACTAATAATCATCTTTTTTCATCTTTCAATTGAAGAAGATTCAATTCTTCATCGTCTTCTCACGAAACAAATCACACATCTTACTATTTGTATTGAAAATGACATGACACCAACATTTTCGAAAATTTTATCAAATGTATTTGTATTAATTTTATCTTCATGTAAACGATTAATCAATTTGGATTTTCGTCAATTATTTCCAAATAAAATGATGTCGATTAATACGTTTGTTCAATCATCAACAAATTGTACGTCTTTAAGTTTAACTCAATTGAAAATTAATGTCAAAACTTTTGATACTTGTCTTTATCTTCTTGATGGACGTCTTCGTAATTTATCGACTTTAATTATTAATGTATCAAATATTTCTCATACATTATCAAATACAAATAAAATGGTAAGTATATTTTCAATCATTGTATATTTAAAGAAAAAATGCTCCACTATATAGATAGAGATTTTTAATTTTGTTTTTATTTATAGAAAAGACTTCCCAAATTGAAATGTTTTTCATTGATTTCGTTTGATGATACATATCATTATGATGATGAAATTATTCCATTACTCTATCGTATGATAAATCTTGAAGAATTGATATTATCTTTATCAATAATACGAGTTGACTTACCTTATATTGATGGTACACATTTATACGATGAAATTCAGATGCATATGCCACGATTAAATAAATTAATTTTTAGTATAAATACAGCTGTTACTAAAAATAACATTAATATTAATTTTCCATCTAAAGAAGATCTTCAACGTAGTTTTATCGAAAGAGGATATCAACAAGTTGGTGTATATGTCGATTCTACAGAAACGAAAGATGAAGGAAGATGTCATGTTTATTCACTTCCATATCAATTTGAAAATTTTCTTCATCTTAACAATTCTTTTCAAGGTGGCATGTTTAATAAAGTTCGGTATTTAACTATGACTGATGGACGTCCTTTTGAACATGAATTATTTAAAATTATCTCACAAGATTTTCCTTTTCTCAAAACTTTATCTATATGCAATAAAGAACCACAAAAAAATAAGCAACATTCGTCAACATTGATTACATTCCCTCATCTTATTGCTCTCAATCTGACTCAAGCACATATGATCTATGGTAAACAGTTTCTTTTGGAAAAAAATACTCATCTACCTTGTTTGTCAAGTCTTAACATCAGATACAAAACACTTACAAAAGTAACAAAGAACTTTACCAACAATGCAGCACGTCTTACTTGTAGCAAATTGAAATACCTTCATACGTATGGATTTGATAATCTTCCATCGAATTTTCATCAATATTTTTCTTCATTAATAAATTATTCTTGTTACAGTTTTTAATAAAAGAAAATATTTTGTGAAATTAAAATACATCGATGAAGCTGATCAAGTAAAATAAATCATGGTAATACGACAAAATATTCTTTAATCTAAGCTATACTTCTACAAGAGTACTTTTATTATTATTGTACGGTTTAAAGAATATTAGAAATAAAAATAATACCAGTTTGATTAACAAACAGCATTTTTCTTATTTGAATCAGAAATCATTTGAAAGAAAAATATTTTATAGTTTCTAAGACAAAAAACGTTTTTTTTTCTGGATATTAGTCACAAGTTTAGTGACAACCAATGACAGATTACAAAGTAAATTAATTGTCTGAGAAATAGAAGTAAAAAACTACAAATACATGTTTTTCTTTGACACTTGAAGCAACAATAGTCTTACAAAGAATGAAGATGAATAGAAAAAAAAGAGTTTAAATAATTTTTGTAGCTTCAAATTCGATTAAAAGAAAATAGTTTTGATAGAAGTCATATAAATATCAACAATAATTGACATTCATTGCTTCATAATACAGCTATACTAAATATAATTCGATATATATATATTCAACTTAGTAAAATGAAATAATGCATGCAACAATCTATTGCTGGATTATCAGTCTTTAATAGTTCTTAATTTTATCGAATAAAAAACCATTGAGATAAATGCTTTAAAAGACAAACATAATAATTATTATTTATGACAGCCCTATTGTATGCAAATCCTTGGTGTATTAATATTTATTAGATATTCACAAAGACACTTATTCAATTCTCTCTGATCTTCTTGCAAAGATTTTAATTAGACAAGGTAAATCTTGGACATGGGCTCTTTTAGCAGGTTATTTTAGTTTAACTGGTTATCAAGTTACAGTAGGTTGTTATAACGCCTATTTGAGTGTGGGTGTAGTTTTGGTTGTCTTCTTTGGATCCACACCCACTAACATTGTTAGGCCCACCTACTGTAAAAATATCAGTCAAATCGATGGCATTCGTCGCGCAGTGTTAGTCATGGCTTAGGTGCAATGCCTCTTAGGAAAACTCATGTGTTATCAGATATCTTGTTGCAATAGAACTGGTCAGTGTATTCACGTTCTTGGGAAGAGCAGGTAAATAGCTTCAGCTGGTATACAGTGCTATCTCGAGAGCTGTGGAACTGAAGCTGTCACAAACCTAGTGAGTATCATAAATCAGCTCATTTACATCTGCGCACACACTCTCTCAGTCTTGTATCGAATGCAGCATTAGCAAACATTTTTTGAGACTATTTACTTGTCATCTATTCACTTTGGTTTGCCGGAAATGCTAAACAACTGTCTTTTTTCGTCAGTCATCTTTGCTTACTCTTTCTTGCGTTCGTATGTTATTATGAAAACAGAAAAGGCTTCAAATATTATGTGATTTTTTCCATGCAAATGAAAAATAAACAAAGAGTCATTAGTAGGTGTAACATTCTTTGTGTCAACAACAAATTTATTCAGTGATTTCGTTGGTTTTTTGTACTTTTTGGCAATACTATACCGTAGTAGATGAACACTAATCGTGAGTATTTCGAACAACGAGATAAATTGCTTTTATTGCTTCGAATATTATTTGAGGCATTTTAAAAATACTGAACTATGAAACAATACAGAATGCTACGTCAATTCCAATTACTAACAGTCTTATACTACTTTTCCAGGTACATCTATTTCTTTTAATGCATAAAATACGACCAAAACAGAGTACATCAATGATGTTTTGATTGAAAACGTCCAATAGTCTATACTACGAAAAAATGTTTCCAGAAGTCATTAAAGATCTTTGCGACGAATCGAATCTGTGCTGCGAAATATAAAAAAATTGTTTTGTTCTGAAAAACCTGTCAAAATGACGAGAAAATACTGATTTGAAGGCATTCAAAAATGAAATCAACCGATGTTTGCGTTAACATGGGTGTTGATGTCATTTTCTCTTTAGCTGCCCGAATCCACGCAACAATCATATCCACATTCGTCAAACCATTCATACCCGCACACATCCTAGCTTTACATAATATTCGAAACTCAGCTCACAAGAAAATTCATAATAATCTTGTTCAGGATTTCGAAAAATCTACTCTTTTAAGCAAACAAATAAGATATTTGTTCGCTAGATGTAATACATATTGTTTCTTTTCTTGTCTCCTCTATTTTTCGCTATTTCTCTTTCTTATTCTTTGATCTATCTTACTTCAGTTGGGTTATTTCCAATTTCAAGGAGCTCAGAGAACATCATTTGTTTTTACCAACTCTATCCAGGTAGAAATAAACCAAGAAATAATCGACTTTCCTCTTCTCTCCTTTTTTTCGTATATAGATGCCCGTGTTTACTTTAATAAACTGGATTATGAGTCTTCAAAGAAAAGAACTGAAGAACATAACAAAGAAATCATGATTCCACAGTAGAATAACCCATTCTACCCCAACGTGTTTGAGTTATCCTCTAGTCCAGCTTCGTTATTTTCAATTTTGGATTTTTTTCTTTGTATAGTTGATCTTCCTCAATACAGGTTTGAGTTTCACTAGTTTACTTTTAGTTTTTCATATATAGTATCAACACAATCTTCATTGAAATTGAAATGGTATAAGATGAGTTAAATATCAAAACAATTCATTTTAAAACAACAAATTATAACAACTGTATGATATTTATCGAACAATTTCTCTATATAAACATTCGTCCATATGTCATTTTTTAATTATACAACTATGACTCATAAGCCGCCTCGTAAGTTCAGACTGTTGGCATAAATATCTCCTTTATCAGTAAATATAGAGATGTGAAAATTTGGGATTATATTCGCCTAGTTACAAAGGGTTAGAAGTCAAAGTTTGAGCTTTTTCAGACTTTTATTATAAGCGAAAAAGAAAAACTTTTCTGAGAAGTACAAAGACGCTTGAATAGCTCTTTATTTCATACAGACACTCACTACAATGAAAGTCTACACTGATGAAATCGACAGTCTATGAGTATTAAATCTTATTAATGTTGTACAACAAAAAAATAGTCGCATTATGCGTAATCTCTCGCAAAACTCCTCATCCGATCACTCACGTACTATTTCATACAGACACTCATTACATTAAATCTCTCCTATATTAATATTGGTCTACTAGGAGCAGAACATCTCGTCAATGCTATACGACAAAATCAAGCAAATTTATCTCTTACTCTCTCCAATTTGCTTATCCTATCACTTACTCATTGTTTCCTGCAGACACTTACTGCACTGAATTTCCATGGCCACGAAATCGGCGATCAAGGATTGTTCCCCTTTTCTCAACCTTCTGTTTCTAACGTACATTTTCTATGGTCTACAGACACTAATCACACCCAACCTGTGCGGTAATCCAATCAGCTCCTGAATAGCATTCTTGCGAGATAATATACTTGGTGATCATGAAGAATTTATCAGGAAAACAAGGTATGATGACTATCACTAAGTATACACCCTAATTTCGAACATGAACAATGATTCGTTGATTTATTCAGAAGCAATGTGAGTGTAAATATAAATAACATTCTTGTCTTTAACCACACCCATACCACCTTCATAAAAATCCAACCAAAGGAGCAGTTACAAAAAAAAAATTCTGGTTTTGTTCGATTTTGATTATGCATTTCGAATGATGACGAGTTCAATTTCACCATCTCTTATCTAATAAAAAGGAATTTTATGTTTCATAAAGAATCAAATAGCACTTACAGGAAGCTTTTTAGCTGTAACTACATTGTTGTTATCTTTATTCATTAAATTAGTCAATGAAATAAACGGTTTTTTAAGAATAGCTTCAATGTCGTCTCGTCGTTCAGATGCAATACGAGCAATTTCACTTGTTTGTGGATCAACCGAATAATAAATTGTTATATCATCAGTTGAAATTAATTTAACCTTTAAAACCAAAAATAACTATGTATTAATTAAAATTAATCATCAATATAAAAACCAAATATAACCTGTTTGCAGAGTTTTTGAACTTGACTTGTAATTTCATTAATAAGATCTTCATCTATTAATGATACATCCGCTGTACAATCAAGTAAAACAATAAACTATTTATAAAAATAACATATAATAAACTACAAGAAAAAAAGAAACGAAATAAATACATACTCCTTGTTCAGCAGTAGCTTCAAAACGTGTTTCTTGTCCTACACGATAAATAATATAAATATCTTCCCATTCAATTGGTACATCGTCAAGCATTGTTAATGGACTTTCATCTTGATTCTTCGATAAGAATTTTTCAATATCTGCATAAGATAGTCCACGGAGTTTTTCAGATATTTGTTTAACTTTAACTATTTATATTTTCATTTTTTTTTTTTGTAAATAAATATCAAAATACAACAAAAACGATACTCTTACCACCAAACTTTTTGCCTAATGTTGGATAGTTGGGTTCCACATGCATTTTAATATCATAAAGTTTATAATCTTGAGAATATATTACTTTACGTACATTTAAACCCTTTAAATAGTAAATATAAATATTAAAAAAAATGAATAAAATTTAAAACAACATACTTCACGAATGAAATCTTCTAAGGATTCAATATTTTTTAATATGGATAGATCTTTATGAATAACAACTAATTCTGGTAATGGATACTAACAACAAGGCTTTTATGTTAAATATTTATCTAAGATAAGTCAATTAAATTTACTTTCATAGGAATAACTTTTCGTTCTCGTAGAAGTCGACCTAATTTAGTAATTGTTTGCATAACAGCTACAACACTTTCAATATTCTTATTTACTAATGAATGACTAAATAAATTTTTTTCATTTTTCTTTAATTAAAAGAAAAGAAAACCATAAAAAGAACAAACTTTGATTTTGGAATCATTTGAAAATGAACACTTAGTTCTTGTTCAGAATCAGATGCTGATTGTGGCATTAATTTTCTTAAAATTTGATACATATATTCAGCAAGAAATGGTGTAAATGGTGCCATTAATTTAGCCATTATTAAAAGAATATAACAAAGAACATTTAATGAAACAAGACGATCTTCTACTGTTGTTTCACCCTAAATGAAAAATTAAATT